GCCCCGGCGCGAGCTGCAGCAGGTGCGTGAGGCGCTGCGCAGCCAGGCCCAGAGCCTGGCTGGACCTGGCCCCCGCCTGGCCGCTGAGTACCTCACGCCCGAGGAGATGGTGAGTGCCACCCTTTGTGCCGGGGTGGGGACGGGAACTGAGGCTTGGGGGTTGGGAACTGAGGAACATGGGGCAGGCAGGGGGAAACTGAGGCATGTGGGGGGCTGGGAGGAGACGCAAGAACATGGGCCAGATTCAGGTGCGAAGGGTAGGGGGAAACTGAGATTGGGGGGGACGACTGGGGCAGGGACCAGGGGAAACTGAGGCACATGGGGATAGGGGGAACAGAAACAAGGGAGGATGGGGGGGGGGTGGAACTGAGGCACAGAGCTAGCAGCGCCCTTGGAGGAGGAACCCAGGAGTCCAGGCTCTCCCTGGACTTGTGGGGGGCAGGGCTGGCACTCTGCTCCTGGGCATTCTGGGTACTGGGGGAGGGGGTTGGCATGACCTCACCCCAGGGCATTGTGGAAGGGTCTGGCTGCACCCTGGGGTTTTGGGGGTACAAGGAGAGGCGTCGCCCTACTCCAGTGCATTGTGCATGTGTGCAGGGGGGCCCCCAATGCATTGTGGGTATGGGCAGGGAGGACATGGTTGTCCCTAGTGGATACTAGGGGCCCTGGCTGTGGCTCAGTGCATTGTGGGTGTTAGGGGCATCCAGGCATGCCCCAGTGCATCATGGTGGGGAATAGGGAGGGTATGGTTGCCCCCCAGTGCATTGTGGGTCCCCCCTGCAGAGCGTGACCTTCCGGAAGCCGAAGCAGCGGGTGAAGCGGCTGCGGCGCAAGGAGAAGCTGCTGACAGCTGAGGACCTCCTGGCACTGGGCCCCACCCCCAGTGACCACGGCGACCACGGCTCCAGGTGCTAGGGGGCGGGGCCTCAGGGTTGGGGCAAGGCTGTGCGGGGTGGGGCTCTGAGAGGTGGGAACCTGCTGGGCAGGATGGTGTTGTAGAAGGGGTGGAGCCAGGAGGGGTGGGCGGGGCCTGGGCTGTGGAAGTGCTG